TTTTTTTTTAAAAAACGATCAAACGATCGAAGCAGCATTTCAATCGATATAAACCAGACCCTAGCAATCAATGCAGATAGATACATGGAGCATAAAAAAAAATTAAAGAGATATACCATCCTGTGGGGAAACAAAGTTGACGTAGCCGTAACAGAGAGAACGTCCAGTGGATGAATCACGGCAGACGCGGACGGAAGCAAGGCTTTTAAAGTCTGAAAAATAATCAAAAAGTTGTCCATCGGAAACATCGTGGTGAAGATCACCAACGTACAATGATGATGGCGTTGCAAGGACAGTCGGAGGAACCGCCATTGACGCCGGCAACAAAATTCAAAATGCTTAGAGAAAGAGGAAAAAAAAAAGCAAAGCGTTTCGTATCGAAATTGGTGTTTTTGCTTAATTTTGCTAATACAAAACGGAGAGAAACAGAATGAGAAAAGAGTGAGTGAGTGAGTGAGAGAAGTGGCGTTCGCTTATAAAGAAGTGAGTATTAATTCAGGGATGAGAATGGAATTAATAGGGGGGCAATTATGGGAAATTTGGGAAATTTTAAGGGAGAAGAAGGAATTATTTTTTTATTTTTATTTTTTGGTTAATTTGAAAGCCAAAAAAGGCAAAATTGAGTATATGATATAATGAACTAGAAGAGAGAAATTTTGCATGAATATTTCCCTTTCAAAGGAAATTCTACCAAACACTGCTTAAGAATTAGAAAAAATAACACGTGTCAACACGCTCCCTTAACAAGGAGTGTTTACTCAACTTCCCCAACTAAATCTGTGGATTTGAATAAAACCAATTCTAGTCTTATTTATTTATTATTCTTTTCCTCTTTATTCATATATCATTATTACTTTGTATCTACAGATAATATTAGATGGAAAAAAATGGCTTGTTTGAATGTAATTTTGTTTGTTACCCCCTTTGCTTTTAATTTTTTTTCTATTTTTAATTTGGTATGAAATCAATTTTATTTATTTATTTATTTACTTTTGACTTTGACCAAGAAGTATAAGGGAAAAAATTTTAAAAAATCAATTTTGTAATTTTAAAAAATTAAAAGTATGGAGAGTGTATCTATATGTTTATTTATTTTTGTGATGTTAAACATGTCATGAGAAAGTTAGTAATAGTAAAATTTTGAGAAATTTGCTAATTAGTAGATAATTACAAACTTTGAAAATTTTTAAAACAATTTAGTGAATATATTTTTCAGCATGTCGTAATATTTTTTGCCTGCATTTGAGCATCATACTTTTACTATAAACAAACTTAAAACCATACAAACTAATTTTGTGATGAACATGTTAATTTACGAGGTGTTTTTCGTATTTCGAAAGTTAAACAATTTTTTTGGTTAATTTTTTCATTTTTTTTACTATCAAAATTTAAAATTTAAATTATAAATTTTTGAAGTTTAAATTATATTACATAAATTAGAACAAAAATAAATAAATAATAATTTTGTAAATTAGGTTTATGACTGCAATTTACTTTTATATTTATTATGTCTTTTTTTAATTATACATACAAACAAGTGTAATACAAATTATCATGCTAAGATCAATAAAAGCTAAGCCTTAATTTGGAACTTATTAAATAAAAATCAATATCAAAGTGATAAAATTTAAATCCTAATTTTTATTTATTTATAAATACTTTATTTACTAGTGTATGAGTAATTTATTAAATTAAAAATATTAGTTTCACAAAATTATATTTAAATTTATTATGTGATCTCACTAGTCAAAGAGGAAAGACTACTTGAGTAATTTTTTCCTCTTTCATATAATGCAAGCTTGACTTTGTTAAGTCAATTTGGTAGAAGAAAAAAGTAAAATAAAAACAAATACGGTTAACAAGTAAAGGTCATAAATTAAATGCCGAAATAAATATAAGCTTTGATCGAAAGAAAAAAAATAAACATAAGTTTATCACATGAGTTTTACGCGTTATTGTAACGACCTGTTTAGTCGTTTTGAGCAACAGATTTTATTTCTGAAAAACTGGCTGAAACGACGGACCCCACGACGGACCGTCGCAGGGTCTCGTTTCAAAACACTTAGAAATTATGAAATTGGGTACTGAAAATCGACTCTCTGAACTTCGTGACGGAGTGGCAGGACGGACCGTCGCAGGCTCGACGGCCCGTCACAGGCTCGACGGCCCGTCACAGGCTCGACGGCCCGTCACAGGCTCGACGGCCCGTCACAGGCCATTCACTTAAAATCGGGTTTCTGTAGCATGTGACGGGCAGCAGGACGGACCGTCGCAGGCACGACGGCCCGTCACGGGCTACGCAATCCCAGGCTGGGTCGGATTTCTGTTAATTTATTTAAGGGGCATTTTGGACTATTTCCTGCTTTAATTATAAAGTGGTGGGTTAATGTTAATAAGTCTAATTGCTTGGGGGTTAAAAGAGGTAACCTTAAGTTAACTAGTGGGTTATTATTGCCATCTTTTACACTCAATTATATGTTAATTAAGGTAAAAGAAAGAGGGTTGAAATAAGAAAAATAGAAAGAACAAAGAGAGACAGAAAAAGAAAGAGAACGAGTAGAGAGAGAGAGAAACGAAGAGGATAGCAAGGATTTTGAGAAGATAGCTTGTTGGTCGCAATTCTTCGGTGGAGGTAGGTTATGGTTTCTCTTACGATAATCGTAGTAAACTCTTAATAGTAAATGATATGTATTGATAGTATTGTAAACCCCTCTATGTGCTTAATTGTATGCTTGCATAAATATGATTATGTAATTGTGAATAAACAAGCATGATGAAGCTATTGAATCCCAAATCTTGAAAGAAACCCTAATTCACTTGTTAATGATGATGCCTTGGTATAAAAGAAGGCTTGATAAATTATATAATGAGATTGATGATGTCGTGGTATAAAAGAAGGCTTGATAAATTATATAATGAGATTGATGATGCCTTGGTGTAAAAGAAGGCTTGATGAAATAGGGGATCGGGTGCCACGTCCCGGTACCAGGATAGAAATAGAGGATCGAGTGCCACGTTCCGGTACCAGGATAGAATGAGGATCGGAGTGTCACGTTCCGACACCAGGATAGAATATGGATCGGGTGCCACGTTCCGGTACCAGGATAGTATATGAGGATCGGAGTGTCACGTTCCGACACCAGGATAGTATATGGATCGGGTGCCACGTCCGGTACCAGGATAGAATATGGATCGGGTGCCACGTTCCGGTACCAGGATAGAATGAGGATCGGAGTGTCACGTTCCGACACCAGGATAGTATATGAGGAGCGGAGTGTCACGTACCGACACGAGGGGAATAAAGATAATAAATCTTGAAAGATGATAATATATTGAATCGAATGAACATAATTCCCAAATGAGTATGGTATGGAGGCTTGAGTCCTCATGTGTGAACTTGATGGTAATTGTTAATGATATAGTACTTGCTGTTGCTACATGTTGAGTATCATAGTTGATTTTATGATATTACTTGATATATATTGATTTCTATTTTGAGTTGGCCGATGATATCTACTCAGTACCCGTGTTTTGTACTGACCCCTACTTTTATGTTTTCTTCTTGTTTATTTGTGGAGTGCAGCAAACGTGCCGTCATCTTCGACTCAACAGTAATTCAAGCCAGTCTTACTACATCGGAAATTCAGGGTGAGCTAATGCTTCTAGCTTGGACTGGATCTTCTTCTTCAAGTCTTGATGCCTTGAACTTCCGGCATGGACTAGCTTCTTATGTATTTTTAGCTTCTTAGAATACTCTTAGTTTAGTAATTTGATTATAGATGTTCTTGTGGTGATGACTTCCAGATTTTGGGGAATAATAGTTATTGAATTGGTTTTTATTAATGAGTTTAAGTTTTCCGCATTATTTTCTGTTGATATTATATTGAAATGTTAAGGTTTAGATTGGTTGGTTCGCTCACATTGGAGGGTAAATGTGGGTGCCAGTCGCGGACTGGTTTTGGGTCGTGACAGTTATTCAGAAAATAATAGACACATAAATGAAAAAGAGAAAAAAGTGGAATACGTTAAGGTTGTGCAAAAGATTAAAAATTTAGACCTTACAAATTATTCCTAAAAATACTGATTCAAACCTCAAAAACTCAAAAAAAAAAAGTAAATATTATAAAACTATTGAATTGTAGATGTTTCTTTTCATAAAAAACATAACATAATGAATCTATTTGATGTAAGACTTAATGTTATGCTAACGTATTTGGTTAAAGAATGTAAAGGGTGTTTTCTATATCCTATAAAAGGGTGGTCTTTTCACCCTTATGATATACACTTGAAGATATAATAAGAATATTATCTATTCTCTACTTTCCATCACTATTTTGTCTTCCTATATTGTTTAAATATTATTACATTTTGCTCTCGTTTTATAACACGTTATCAGCACGAGTTTCTAATTAACTGAGACATACTCAATTCGAAATTAATTCCTAAAAGTTAATCAACTTTCTTTCGGAGTCAAGTATATATTTGTGTGTTTATAACATCTCTAATAGGACTTGCATAAATCTTTAATCTATAATTTAACTACTGTATATATAACTTGATTTAACTATTACTGTGATACTTTATTTAGCATAATAATCAATACGTTATAGATTTATATTGTTATGTTATTTACTAACTTATAACTCTAAATTAATTATTAAAGTAATATGATAGCATGCTTGTTAAAGTTACTATTTTTATACATTATGATAATATATTGGTGTGTCATAAAAAATAATATTATTGTATTAAATATGACTTGAAACTCTTAAGAAAAAGGATTGGAGTTAATACTATATAACAATTAAAAATACATATTAAATCTACTGTTTCAATACGTCATTAGTTTATATATTTTTAAGACATTCAATGTGCATGCATTTAACATATAATTTATTATATAATCATATTATACTTTATCATTTGAACATTATTTACAATTTATTATAAAGAAACCAACATCATAATATTAACTCAATTATTTTATGATAGTTTTCATTATGTCGAATTTGTCAAAACTTGAATTTGTGACACTTGACATTTCTGGAAAGAATTATTTGTCATGGGTACTTGATGCTGAAATTCACCTTACCGCTAAGGGCCTTGGTGATAGTATAATTGAAGGAAATACGACATCAAATCAGGATAAAGCGAAATCTGTGATTTTCCTTCGTCATCATCTTGATGAAAGCCTGAAGGTTGAATACCTAACGGTGAAAGAACCACTTGAATTGTGGATAGGTTTGAAAGGGAGGTATGACCACCTCAAGGCAACGATATTGTCAAGGGCTCGTTATGAGTGGATGCACTTACGGTTTCAAGATTATAAAATCATAATTGAGTATAATTCTGTTGTATTTAGTTTAACTTCCCAAATGAAATTATGTGGGAAAACAATAAAAGATGAGGACATGTTGAAAAAGACACTAACTACTTTTCATGCCTCTAATATAATATTATAGCAGCAATATCGTGAAAAAGGTTTTCAAAAATACTCTGAACTGATCTCATGCCTTCTGGTGGCTGAGCAGCATAATGACATTCTAATGAAAAATTACGAAGCCCAACCCGCTGGAAGTGCTCCATTACCGGAGGCACACGCGGTTGAAGCACATGGTCAGTCTGAAATAATATAAAATAATCGGGGCAATGACAATGTGCGCGGGCATGACAAAGGCAAAATATGATATAATAATCGTCGAGATGGTGGTCATAACAAAAGGGAGAACAATATAGGTTCTCAAATAATCCTTCTAAAGGAAAGGGCGATTATTGTCATCGTTGCGGCCTTAAAGGTCACTGGAAAAATGAATGTCGGGCACCTGAGCATTTTGTCAGGTTGTATCAAAATTCCTTTAAAAGGAAATAAAGGTGGCGCCTCCTCTTTTAAAGCCCGAGTAGAGTCACATTTGACTCTCAAAGATGATGTTCAGGCAGGATCTTCTAAAAAATATAATAAGAATGTTGAGTCAAACTTAGCATTAAAAAAGATGATACTTTTGATGGGCTCGATGATATTACACATCTGCAAGCTGATTACTTCTTTGGGGATCACAACTGAGATTGATAATTGAACGAGGAAATGAATAATGTTTTTAATTATTTTTATTGTCTTAATTAAAGTTTATGTACTTAAGATTTCTTTTGCTAAATTTCATACTTCTCTTATGTATTTTTTTTATTCTTGTGAAGATAAATAAAATTTTCCAGTCATCAGTTGGATACAAAATGAGAAGTGGATATATGTGTCTTCTGGACAGTGCCACAATTCATACGATACTAAGAGAACAGAAATATTTCTCTCGTTTAATAATGAAAAAGGCATATGTTAATACAATATCTAGTAGTACAAAATTGATTGAGAGCTCTGGAAGAGCGGCCTTATTACTACCTGGAGGAACATTATTGGTAATTGATAATATATTGTATTGTAGTAAGTTCACAGAAACTTGTTAAGTTTCAAGGTTATTCGCCAAAATAGAAATCATGTTGAGATTGCGAAAGAAGAAAAGGTGGAATACCTTTATATAACTACAATAAATGCGGACAAGAAAACTGTGCATGAAAAATTGCCAGCACTTTCTTCTGGGTTATACCATACAAATATTGGTACAGTTGAATCACATGTCGTAGTAAACAAAAGGTTTACTGATTCTAATGATTTTATCATTTGGCATGACCGGTTGGACCATCTCGGTTATAATATGATGCGCAAAGTGATTGAGAATTCACATGGGCATACTTTGAAGAACCAAAATGTTCTTCAAGCCATCAGTGGCTAAGGTTAGGTAGAATTCCCTACATTTCTGAAATGGATATAGGGTGATATATGTGTACCTATTCACCCTCCATGTGGATCATTTAAATATTATATGGTCTTGATAGATGCATCTACAAGATGGTCTCATGTGTGCTTATTATCAACTCGCAATATGACTTTTGCGAGGTTGTTGGCTCAAATAATAAGGTTAAAAGCACAATTTCAAGATTATGCAATAAAAACAATTCGTCTTGATAATGTTGGTGAGTTTACATCTCATGCATTTAATAATTATTGTTTGTCCACTGGAATAACAGTTGAACATCCTGTTGCACATGTTCATACTCAAATTTAGCAGTCATTAATTAAACGTCTTCAATTGATAGCTAGACCGTTATTGATGAGAACAAAGTTGTCTGTTTCGATTTGAGGGCATGCTATTTTGCATGCAGCAGCGCTTGTGCGCACAAGGACAATCAGTTATCATGACATCTCCCCATTACAATTGGTTTTTGGTCAGGAGCTCCCATCTTAGAATCTTTAGTTGTGTGGTATATGTTTCAATTGCTCCACTACAATGCACAAAGATGGGTCCCCAAAGAAGGTTGGTGATATATGTTGGGTATGAATCTTTTTCTATTATAAAATATTTAGAACCTAGAACTGGAGATTTATTTACGGCAAGGTTTGTTGATTGTCATTTTGATGAATCAGTTTATCCAACATTACGGGGAGAACAAAAGCAGTGGGGAAATGAGATAGATTGGAATTCACTTTCACTGTCTCATTTAGATCCTCGAACAAATCAATATGAGCAAGAAGTTCAAAAGATAATTTATTTGTAGAATATTGAAAATCAACTGCCGAATCCATTTACTAACCTTCCACGGGTTACTAAATCATATATCCCAGCTGCTAATGCTCAAGTTCGAGTTGATGTCCCTATAGGACAAAATGTTAAGGCAAATAAGTCTTGACCATGCTTAAAACGTGGTTGACCAATTGGTTCCAAGGATAAAAATACTCGAAAAAGGAAAGGAATAAATGATCAAGATGATGATCATAATATTGAGGCAATTGATCATGAAGAGCTCCGAGACATAATAAATGATGACACCACAAAGGAGGTCCATGTACCTGAAAATAATGAGAATGAGGCTCTATAAATTATGTCTCAACGAGAAAAAGGTGAAATTGAAATAATATTGTGGTGGATAATATTTTTGCCTATAATATTGCAGTTGAAATAATGCAACAGGATGAGGATTTCGAACCAAGATCTGTTAGCGAGTGTAGACAGAGAAATGATTGGCTAAAATGGAAGGAAGCAATTCAAACAGAATTAGCTTCACTTGAAAAATGTGAAGTTTTTGGATCAATAGTCCGAACACCTGAAGGTATCAAGCCAATGGGGCATAAATGGGTTTTTGTGTGAAAACGCAATGAAAGTGATAAAGTCCTAAGATATAAAGCACGACTTATGGCACAAGAATTTTCACAAAGGCCTGACATTGATTATGAGGAGACTTATTCTCATGTGGTAGATGCAATTACATTCAGGTATCTAATAAATATGACAGTTTATGAAAAACTTGAAATGAGTTTAATGGATGTTGTCACGTCCTATTGTATAGCTCGCTAGACCACAATATTTTTATGAAAATCTCTGAAGCACTCAAAGTTCCTGAAACATATAAAGATTCAAAAGAAAGTGGTTCAATAAAGCTTCAAAAATCTTTATATGGATTAAAACAATCAGGGCGAATGTGGTATAATCGTCTAGCGAATATTTGATAAAAGAAGGGTACAAGAATGACCCTATTTGTCCTTGTATTTTTATACGAAGGTCAAAATCTGAATTTATAATAATATCTTTTTATGTTGATGACTTGAACATTATTGGAATTCCTAAAGAGCTTTCAAAAGTCTTTGAGTGTTTGAAGAAAGAATTTGAAATGAAAGATCTTGGTAAGACAAAATTTTGTCTTGGCCTTCAGATTGAACATTTGACAAATGAAATATTTATCCATCAATCAACATATACTGAAAAGGTTTTGAAAATATTTTACATGGATAAATAACACCCATTGAGTACCCCGATGGTTGAAAGATCTCTTGATATAAACAAAGATCCATTCCGACCTCAAGAAAAGGATAAAGAGGTTCTTAGTAATGAAACACCATATCTTACTGCTATTGGGGCACTAATGTACCTTGCCAACAATATCCGTCCAGATATTTGTTTCACAGTAAGTTTATTGGCGAGATTCAGCTCATGTCCAACAAGAAGACATTGAAAAGGTGTTAAACATATATTCAGATATCTTCAATGAACAATTGATATGAGATTGTTGTATTCTAATGCATCTAAGTCAGAATTGATTGGTTATGCAGATGTTGGCTATCTTATTCCGGACATAGTGACTTTGAAGATAATTTATGAAGGGATTTATAATAATAAAATATTATGATGTATATAAATTTAATTTACGAAGGGATTAATCATATAAAAAGATTCTAATATATATTATGAATTAATATAGGACGTGTAATTTAAAAATATATATTCATCTTTTAAACAATTTTTTTTCCTAGTTAGGATTGGATCAAGGGTATGGTTAGCTTTAGGCTCTTAAAAGTTAACTACTCCAAAAAAGATAATTATTTTCATTAAATAATAGAATTCATACGTAAAACATGTTTTTAGTTTATAACTTTGTAGGTAAAAAGTTAGTATCTTATTATATAATTTGAAAAAACAAATCGAATTAATAAAATTTTAGTCTTTTTTGCAATACAATACATTAGTTTTTTTCCTCAAAAATATTATTGGTAGACAATAATTGTAAGTACTTTAATTATAAACTTTTAAATATCAAATAAAGTTGTATTATTATTCATAGAGTTACATATCATTTTCACGTCTTTTCAATATAAAAGGTTAAAAGGTTACAATTTCGTATAGTAACATAAGAATGCATTATATCTTTTCCCATATTATCAAGTTCTTAATTTAATATCCCAAATTACAATTAATTTTAACTCTAACTTAAAAAAAAACTCTACATAATATTTTTAATTAAGTCAGAATTCTTTTAATTGAATCTAAAAAACTTTAAATTTGTTTGAATGGGTGAGCAAATAAGGTTAAGTTTTTTTTATCTCTCATGAATTAGTAAATATATCTATTTAGATGATTTCTTATTTTGTTTTGGATTCATATGTCAAATGACATTGTATGCTAAGTTAAATAAAAATTGAATTGATTTGTGTCACAAGTCAAAATGCAATAACATGTCCAATCATATTAAAGTTCGAGCACGTTATATGTGAAAGATATAAACGTTACATCTCAATTGAATATTGTCATGCTTACTTAAATGTAATTGACCAAAAATGGGAGAGAAATACATCACAAGATTCGCGAAAGGTCTTTTTTCTAAAAAAATTGTTGACTATGTGTACAAGACATATACGTTACGATCTCAATTGATTATTGACATGTTTGCTTAAATGTAATTGACCAAAAATGGTAGAGAAATATATCACAAGATTCATGAAACAACTTTTATTAAAAAAATTGTTGACTAAATATGCTATAAATAGGACATAAAGGAAAATAAACATCATCATCAAAATCATCAAAAATTGAGCATTACACCAAAAATTAAGATGAATTTCAACGCATTGGCTTTTTTCCTCATTTTTATGATGACAGGACTATGTAAGTCTTTTTATTCGCTTTAAATTTATAGTACTTGAATATCATACAGTTTTCCATAATTTCTTAAGTTCATTCTATAAACTTTTTGTTCTTTGAGATAAAATTTATTTATTTATAAGTTAAATAATAATATTAATAAATTGTAAAATTTTATTTGTTAGGTGTTTCACAAAAGGCTGAAGCGCTAAATATTTCCCCTTGTTGTTGTGACAAAGATCCCTCAGTTTGTTATCGTTTGTGTGGCTATATACAAGACTATTACTGTAACGGCATGTACTGTATTTGTGGGTATAAACGACCTCCAGTTCAGTTTGCACAAACTAATGGAATTACAAATTTAAGAATTTGAGTTTCTACAAACAAAAATAGAAGTGGAATTCAATTTCAGTTTTATGTAGTTTACAATATAAGGCATTACCAGATATAAAAGCTTATGTTTTTCTTCTTTCTGTCCTTTATTTTGATAATAATAGTCTCCAATTAAAAATATATTTACATGCTACAATTAAATTTCTCTCATGCTTAAATTGAGACATTTATTTTTAATCAAAACCTTTTCTGATATTGCATAATGCGAACTCAATACACCTATTTTATTAACTCTAAAAATTAATCGATCTCAATGCGCTCTCCATTATCATACAAGTAGAGGTCGAGAAGAATACTCATGATATACAAAACTAAGTAAAAGAGAGTTTGAAAGAGCTAATAATAGTTAGCTATTGAAAAAATATACCTACAATACATATCTTAGATGTAGACATAAATCATCCACAATTCTTCAATCCATAACATTTACAAATGTAGACATAATTATAAATCATAATATAAGACAAATGTAGGAACCAAATATCACCATCAAAATAAGTAAACGCAGAGCATGGACTCTAGTATATGGAAAAGTACATCTCTAACATTCATGACTTGATCTACGGTGCCGGAGGATATGGATACATTCATTCGTAACGAGCCTATGTATATATTAAAAAATGTGAATAATAATCAATAATGTAAGAATTTTTTCTTGATAAGTAAATAATATCAAAAATTATATTTTAATTTTTTTTTAACTTACAATCTTGATCTGCCCAACCAATTCTTTGGTGAGCCAAATCATAGACAATGCTCATCTCTAAGAGCAATATATGTGTAACAAATATAATTAATGTCAACCTAAATTAAATACAAGAAATGTAATTAGGGATATATATATATGATTACTTCCTTTTGTAAATATTTGAAATTCATTTAAAAATATTTTGTTTTTAATTAAATATGATTGTTAATTAGTTATGTTTAATTGATAGTATATATTCCGAGTTAATTAGCTTACAAATAGCTCAATTGTACAAATATACCCGTGAATTCTACAAACTCACCCGCTAATTATACAAACTCGTGAATCATGTAAACGAAATAACTTAAATTATAACTACAACCCTTAAATATGCAAACTATAGTTATGAAGCATAATTAAGTTTATTATAGTGGCTATTTGCAAAAATTTCCTTTTATAATTTAGAATGGATATAGAAGACTATAATATGTTGTTTGTTTAGTGAGGCCAATTCATGTTAACCTTGTGGGTTGGCTGGGTTTTGGTGCTCTTTGTTTGTACAGAATTGTTTTGATGTTGGTGTAGTAACATTCACATGAGTTTACCAACAAAAAATTGGCTAATTCAATTATGTGTTAAATGCATAAACCATAACAAAAAAAAAGTACATTCTTTTGGGTATTATGCAAAAGAAAACATGAATTAGACCTTAAACATTGGATATTATGCAAAATAAATACTCATGATATATAGAACTAATTAATGACCGAAAAGATTTGTGTAGATGTATTTATTTTTGGTTATTGAAACTAAATGTGTTAGATCATTGAGATGAGGTGTTTGAGGTTCATTTGATTGTATTATTATATATTTATATCTCATTGTGATATTGTCACTTTGCACATATACTTATGTTGTTATGAGTTTATAATATGTGATTTTTACTCTTTAACATCTCTTTTTTTATCAAACAAAAGCAATATTGGAAACTTGTGAAGTGAAAATTGTTTTTTTTTCAATTAATAAGAGTTGGGATGACTCATTTGCTCTAAATTAAATAAACATTATGATAACATTTAAATTCTTCTCAGCACTATATATATTTACAAAAAGAGGAAAAATATGATTCAAATTCTAAGGCTATTCCTCTCTGGTCTTTATAATGTATTATTGCTTGTCGACTATTTTAAATTTACGTTCCACAAAAATTAATAATAATAGTATTTTAGTTTTAAACAAATTAAGATTTGTGTTATGAATTTTCATGTCTTCATTATAGTTCATCTTATATCATTATTATATAAAATTACAAGGATTTGTTATGAACCGACAAGTCTTACATTGACTATCATCTAACTACAACTCTTCTTCTTTATTTGTACTTGAGACCAACAATATGATCAAGCTCATATATAAGTGGAGTCAATGCATTTTGTAGATTAATTTTACGTTGTGTAGATTTAATTTCAAAATATTTGATTAAGAATAAAAGAATCTTATTCACTCGTACTTATCGAAATAATACAACCCTATAGGTAGAAGCTTATCAGCCAAACATGTGAAGTGATGATCCAGAATTAATCGATCTTAACGTGCTCTCAATTATCATACAAGTAGAGCCCGATAAGAAAAATGCTCACGGTATATAGAACTA